TATTTGTGCTTATTGTGCATACATGTCTTTTATTTTGTCCATTTTAGTCCAAAAATTAAAAAAATGTTTCAATTTAGTTTATCCTTTTTAAGTTTCCCTATTAGACTTAAACATAAAGATAGTAAATAAGTTGAATTAAAACCTCAATGTTAAAGTATGCAACCGTGTTTAAACGGAGAATTGTGAGGTGCGCGTATGTCCTTCCTCACTCTTAATCGAATCCTGAAACCTCGATCTCTGCGCAGATTCGTTTTAAGTGACTCGTCCCACCTTATAATTTGGATGAGTGGCGACTCCCCTTTTCTTATATATTTTTCACACTTAATAATGATAAATCTTGATTTTCAATTTATTATGAAAAAAATCTTAAGTAGTCGTCAACAGTTACAATATAAAATTAATAAATCATATTCATTTGACGAGTAAACTTGTAAAGTTTAATTTTGTTATTTAATTTTCTTTGTTTAGATTATAGATGAATAGATCCTAAACTTTTTATTAATTTATTCTCTTTACAATCAATATTTTAATTCTCATAGCAACAAATATTAAAATTGACTTACAATAAATATGATACTTGTGTCAATCTTTAATATGAGTTGAAGAAATTTTAAAGTAAGGATCAATTTTTAGACAAAATAGCAATCCATGAATGAGATAATAATAGAAATTTGATTTTATGTAATGCCTATATATATATCAAATTATCAATAAATTGTAATCTTTATATTATTAATATATTCTTGGTGAGCTTTCATTAGAGAAAATATATTAAAAAGAATAGTAAATTCTATTGTCACATGAATGGTGATCATCTTAAAAGTATAATAATTTAAGATTTATATTAATTGTTTATGGTAAGTCAGATGTTTTAGCATATTATATCTTGGCAAATTTTATTTTAAATTTTTATTTTTTTAATTAGTTTTAATTAAAAATTCTTCTCTTTTTATTTGTTTAAATAATTTTAAAATTACTTATTTTTTGTACTTAATTAATTATAATTTTT